CTCTCTCTCTCTCTTTCCCTCTCTCAGGTGGCGACATCCGAACCTTTCCCTCTCTCAGGTGGCGACATCCGAACCTTACCCCCAACAATCCTCGATTCTCCTGAACCGATAAAGAGGCGGGGGTGGGGTTCGGATTTCGCCACGCGCTCGAGGAAGCCCTGACTCCGGATCCGCCCTACTTCGGCTTTTTTTCCAACTTAAAATTGCGTCGGAAATCCACCTATAAGAGGCCGAAAAAGTAGGGCGGAAATTGCTGCACCCAACATAAAATAGGGCGGAAATCCACAGAAGCAGCAACAGAAAAGTAGGGCGGAAATTGGCATCAGCGGGGCCTGAAAAGTAAGGCTGAAATCCCAAGCCCCACTTACGAATTTCCCCAAAGTAGGGCGGATCCGGAGTCAGGGAGTCCGAACCCTACCCACGTTGCCCCTCAATCGTTGATCGGCGGGGGCAGGGCCCGGACTTCGCCGCCCTCGGGACCCGCTTCCTCCACGGCGAGCCGAGCAGGCCCCCTCCCCCCGTCCGCCAGGAGCGAAGGGGCCCTGGGACACACAAATAAATACACACAAAGAAAAGGACTCCCCACATCTTCCCAGATGCTCTGGGCTTCTGTCTTCCCCCCCACTGCCCATCTTCTCCCATCTTCACTGGGGAATCGACGATCAATTGTGTCTGTGTGTTCTTTCTCCTCCTGAAGGCGGGGCGGCGCGTGGACGGGCCCGCCCCCGCGGGGCCTCCCAGGGCAGCCGCCCCGCGCCGAGCAGCAGGGCGCACACCTCCCGGCCGAGAGGCCCCCCGAGTGGGGCGCGAGCGAGGAGGAGGAGGAGGAGGAGGAGGAGGAGGAGGAGAGGAAGAGGACGAGGAGGAGGAGGGGGAGGAGGAGGAGGAGGAGGAGGAGGAGGAGGAGGAGGAGGAGGAGGAGGAGGAGGAGGAGGAGGAGGAGGAGGAGGGTGGGTGCGGAGGGTCGCGCCGCGTCGCCGCTGCACGGGCGACGCCGGCGTGCAGGACAGCCGCCTCCACACCGGTGCGGCGCGACCACACCGGCCCCATCTGCTCGGACTCCCTTCGGGGGGCCTGCCGCGCCCACCGCCACCGGCGGGGCGGCGCCGAGGCACGGCAGGCCCGTGCTGCCCCTCCTTGCTTGCAGGAGGGCGCCAGGTGTGCACCTGCACCGATCCTGGCCAGGACGGTCCTGGGCCCGGGATCGGCACGTGCGCTTTCCTCCTCCTCCTCTTCCCTCCTTCCCGCCTCCGCGAATTTGTTGTGTGTCCGGGTGCTAAACCTATCGTGCGGTTATTTCGGCCCCTCGGAATATCGAATAAAAATGCGGTGCTAAGATATCGCCGGGGGGGTTCTCAAATGCTTCCTGGGGTTATGTGCGCCAGTCCTGGGCCCAGGATCGGCCGGGCCAGGCTGGGCGTCAGCGTGTAGTTGGTGCCCCCCGAGAGCGGAGAACCTCCGCAGGTCGAGCCTCCACTCCTGGATGCGAGAAGCCTCCGGAGAAGCCTCCAGGATGGAGATCGGGCCTACGTCCTGAAGATGTGACTCTCTGGGGCGATGACGTCGGGGCGGCGACCTCACGCGCGGCCACGGCGACCTCACGCGATGGCCGACGCGCAGGCCGCGGGCGCGTCACAACACGCGGAGGAGGTGGCGCCCAAAGGCGCGGGCCCTGCGCGGGCAGCTTCCGCGCGGCTGGCCGCGCGGGAGGTGACCGCCGCTTCTGCGACGCCTGATGTCCACGAGCCCATAGCCGCCCACGACGACAGCGCAACCGAAAACCGACCGAGCCGACAGCGAAACCGAAACCGACCGAGGCAGGGAGGCCGAGGGCAGCAGCAGCGGCGCAGCAACGGCACAAGAACCGACCAGACCGAACCAACCGAGCGCAACCGACTGCGACACAGCCGAACCCACCGAACAGCGTACACCCGTGGAGCCCCCCTTGGGGCTGGAGAAAGCACCCCAGTCTGGGCCAGATTGGACACGGCCGATTCGTGCCGCGTCGACGCTGGCGCCTGTTTCGCTGGCAACGCGTGGATCATTAGGTCTTGGAAGATCGCGGCTCTCCGACAGAACGGAGCGTTCGACATCGGCCGATTCTGGGCACTGGCGGTGTTCAATCTTGGACGCCCGCGCTGGCATCGCCGCCGCATCGAGATGGCGCGAACCTACCGCGCGTCCGCGACTGCGACTGCGACTTGCGTGGGATGCCCTGAGGGCGTTGCGGGGCGGTGCCAAAACACCCAAACACGAACTATACAGCATTGCCAGAACACGCTTGGGAATCAGAAGTTCGGTGTGGGATGTCACCGCGTAGCCGAAGCCTTGCAGCCCTAGCGCTGTCAGTCGAAATTGTTGGAGCACGCTTGGGTAGTACTGGAATTGACAAAGTGGCTCTCGGCGAAAACGGCTATACGTAGACGACCAACGAAACGACACGACGACAAGCTCCCTGACGTCCGCGCAGGCTTCTGGAATGGATCGGCGCTGGATCCCCCCACCCCCCACACCCTTTACCCAGCGCGCAGACGAGTTGGGGGGGCGCCGCCAGGGGGGTGGGGACGGGGTCAAGACGCGCGACCCGCATGCAACGGTGTGCGAACCCGGCACCTGCAGGTCAGACTTCGGAAATGCCAGCTGGGGCTCAGGATGCGGAGGATGTCTGCAGCCACGTGAACACCAGCGGGGGTGTCCGATACTCCAGCGCCGACTGCACCCGCAGGGGTAGGGTTCGCAAGTGGCCGCAGAGCCATTGCCAGAGTCGACCTCGGCCGCTGGGAATGTCCCCTGCGCCGGCGGTGCCGCGCTAGAGGCGCGACCTCCACACGCGGCCTCGGCCGGCGCTGGGGGGCGTGGTGCTGGCCCCAGCGGAGGAGGGCCCGCGCCGTCCCAGCTCTGTGCCTGCGCGGGCGCGCCCGCAAGGCGCGCGCGCCGTTCGGGAGTGAGGGCCGCCGGGGCAAGGTTACCCGGCGATCCCTCTATCACGCGCCCATAGCGTCTCAGCCGGCCCGGCGCGCGGGCGAGCTGTTGAGCGTTCGTGGAGCAGGTCACGTCGCAGCGCTGTACGTGGGTTCGACGCGCCAGCGGCGCGCAGCAGGAGGAAACTGAGCGCCTCGTAGCCGATCATGAATTGACCAGCTTGCCGCGCCTGGTTGCGGAGGATGTCGAACCTCGCCAGGGCGTTGTTGATGCGCTCCCGCGGCAGTCGGTTGGAGTTCATCAGATCCGACGCTGCCGAGGCGCGCTCCTCCTCGCCCAGCTGGCCCCATCGTTCGGCCAAGCTGCGCATTAAATCAGGAAGGTCATCGGTGGCACTGGGTTGCCGTTGATGATTCCGCCCTGGATCAAGACAACTGGCCGCCTTCCGCCCGCGCGCTCGCGCGCCGTGCTGGCAAGGCGCGACAAGACGTAGGCTGCCTGGCGAAACTCGTCGGAGTTCGCCACTGACCAGATCATCACCTCACGCACCAAATGCTGGAAAGGCACGCAAGCTTCGTTCATCCAGAATTTAGCCCCCTCCGCCGGTCGTAGAGGTGCTGGGGGCCAGGAATCCCCAACCGGCGTTGCATGAGTCGCCGAGGATACCTGCCCCAGATGCGTTCCTCCTCGTCAGCGCGTCGGGAGTCTGCTCCTGTCGCGCCACTGCAGTGCCCGCGGTGCTCGGAGCATCCCGCGACGCAATCACGGGAATGCTCTTCGTACGTCGCGTAGTCACCGCTGAACACCGCCAACTATACACGATCGTCTAGAGGAGTGCCCATCAAGATCCCATCCTGCCCAGCTGGCCGGTCTGAGTGGGTAAAGCGAAGGGTCGGGCCCCAAGGCGCGGCGCCTCGGAGCGATGGCTCCCCGTTTGGTCGCCGCGCCCTCCACTGCGCTACCTCGGGGGGTGGAGAACGCAATTCCCATGCTCCCCGCTGCGCCGCCGCTCGGCACCGGCGACGCAGTCGCCGGATGCCTCTGCACTGCTTGCTTCGAGACACAATCCCAAGACGTTCGGGACTTCGTTCTGACACCGCAGATGTGAACGTTGTGTCGAACAACTGTCTCACTCCTAAGACGCACCCATGGGCGGGGGCACTGACAGTTTGGGGTCCGCGAGCTGATTGGACACAGACCGAGCGTGCCCGGGATGGGTCGTAGATTTTGGTGATGTCGTCCTTGATGAGGTACCGGGTGTGCACGTTCTCGGTCACTGGTCTTGGCGGATGGGCGGATGCCCCGACGAACCCTATAGCAACGTCTCCTGCCACAGGGAGCGGGGAGAGGTGCGCGAAGGCGATGATGTCGAGGGCGGACGTAGTGCTGGATGTGGAGCGGCATGTAGAGCGGCACGACGCAGTGTCTCTGCGGATGGGACGTTTCCTGCAAGCGTCGCGATGTAAAACGACGGAGGGTGGGAGCCATGGCCATCGAGGCGAGGCGGGACATGGCTGCCTTGGTACCAGGGGCAAACCTGCTCCGCTGCCAAGTAGACATGAGAGTGTAGGACAATGAACGTGGTTTTCCATACTCGGGTGTGCAGCGTGCAGAGCGAGTCTGTTTATAAGCGGGCGCGGTAAAAAGGATCCTTGAGATCCAAAGTGGCAACGGCAAGGACAGGGTGAGAAGCAGGCAAGGCAGGAGGACATACCGCTCGAGTAACTTAGGGGAAGGAGGAAGAGGAAAGGAGGAGAGATGAGAAGACTGAGGGAGGAGGAGGAGGAGGAGAGAGGATGCTGGTGCCCGCATCGAGTCAAGTCGAGGAGGACTCGAGAGGAGGGAGGAGGAGGCGAAGGGAGGAGGGAAGGATGAGGGCATGTCGGTCTTCGTCTCCGCTCTTTCCATGCCCATTCGGGGAAAGCCAACAAGGTACCGATACCGCTAATCCCTGGACCTCTGACCAGCATTCCGAGGTGAATCCAAAAGGTGGCGACAAGGGCCTCCCAGGAGGCCCGAACAGGCGAAGACGAAGGAAGGGCACTTTTGACCGAGGCGGAGGCGCGAGGAGCGAGGAGCCTCGACGAGGAGGCCCCGGGCGCCTCGTGGTGGCCCCCGCTCGCCGCCGCGCAGAGCGCCGCCTCGCCCATCACGCCGCCCAGCCCGACGTCCGCGCCGCGCTCCACGAGCAGGGCGCAGACGGCCCCGTGGCCCCCGCGCGCGGCGCCCACGAGCGCGGTGTAATCCACCTCGGCGTCGCCGTCGCCTCTTCTGGCGGAGGGTTTCGGCCATGCGCCCGCACACCGATCTTGGCCAGGCTCCCCCCGGGCGCCCCCATCCCTCCGCGAAAACAAGCGCAAGTTCTTTTGTCCCGCGACGTGCCGGCGCCCCCGGCCCCGCAGTGTCAATGCTCACGCCGAAACTGGCGGCTGCAGTTTCTTTTTCTGTGTCCGAGGCTCGTCGGCTCTTCGATGAACTCCTGCTGGTCTCCTCCTCCTCCTCCTCCTCCTCCTCCTCCACCTGCTCCCTGAAGGGAAACGTTAGCTGGGACTGGCCCTGGGGGGAAAGCAGAAAGCTCGAATCGGCGATAACTCGCCGATGCATCGGCGACAGGCCCTCGATAGCGAACCCGTACGCTCCCGGCAGGGCGGGCCATCGGGCCCCTATCGGCGATCTCAATGGGCGCTTGGGGGTCGACGCACGCCCCCCAGGAGCCCCCATCCTGATTTGCCCCTGGACGAAGGATTGCAAAAAAACCGAAGGATTGCAATCCTGGGTTTTTTTGCAATCCTGGTTTTTTTTTGCAATCCTTCGGGTTTTTTTGCAATCCTTCGTGGGTGGACGGAGACCCCTTGGGCAAAACGCTCCTCGGCGAAAGCGGCCCAGGACCCAGCCCCGCAAGCGCAGGCCTGCAAAAACTGCGGCCGCGGCAACCGCTGCGTCGACCTCCGATGGACCATCCCCACGCGCTGGGCATCGCTCGGACGTCCATTCCCTGTATTTTTCGGTTTCGTGCGTGTTTTTTTCGCCAAATGACCAAGGATGCTCCTCGATGGTCCTCGCCGAAGGAAAAATGCACACGTCCGAGCGATGCCAAGCGCGTGGAACCATCGGGAGGCTGGGCTCCGGGTGCACGTGGGACGTCCGGCGCACACGGCCACAGAGGGGCCGAGCGCTGGACAGGAGACATGTGGCCACGCGTGTGTCCGGCTCCTGCCTGGGCTGGCCGCGTCACGGCTGGCCAGCTCCCTGGTAGTCTTGCGCGCGAAGAACTCGCCGCCCCCGTGTTCGACACCCCCCTTGGCGCCTGCACGCGAGAAGACGCGTGCCAGATGCGCAGGCGTGCCGAATGCCAGGCGGTTCGATACACCTCCCGGGCGCGTCCTTTTCCCGCGTGAAGGATCAGCCGCCCCATGCTTTAGACCCCTCGGGCCTGGGGCCAAAGGCCCGACGGACAAAGAGAAGCCTGGGCCTGAGCTTTACGAGGAGAGGACTTGCCAAACGCGCACGTACCAGACGCACGTTCGATCCCCCATCGCGCACGACAGATCGTCAAGTGTGGAGCGTCCGATGCTCCCATGTTCGATGCCACCCCCACTTGGCTCCTGGCTCCTACCCGCGTGAAAGCACGTGCCAAATGCACATGCGTGCAAGACTTACTCTCGATTCACTGCCGCACACGAGCTTTTCACGCGTGAAGGATATGGCGAGAACCTAGCGCCCCCATGTTCGATACCCTCTTTTGTGCGCAGACGCGTGAAAACACGTGACAAATGTGCGTGCGCCAGACGCGCGTTCGACACTCCCCCTCCGAGCACGTACTTTTGCGCGCGAAGGCTCCGGCACCGCTCTGGTCTGCAACACTTCGCCAATCTGAACACATTTTTCCCCGCGGCGTGGCGGCCGGTGCCCCAGGACCACCAATTTCAATGCTCGCGCCCAAACTGGCGACTTCAATTTTCCTTCGGACCCCGCGGGCCGCGTTGCGCGCGTCGCTGGACATAAAAATTAGGGGGGAGGGTGACTCGGATAAACTTGCGCTTGATTTCGGGGAAAACTCTGGGACGAAATGCCAAACAAACACAAAAGAAACCTGGGCTGGAACACTTACCGAGAACAAAACCAAAATCACGTCTCTGGGGATCTGCTGGGCAGTACGTGTCCTGAGGGAAACAGGTCCTGGACCCAGATCCCTGGGCTTCCAACGCAAGCGGGCCTTTGATTCCAGGTCGTTTTGTGAGCGTCACGATGCACGGAAGGGCTGCCCCCAGGAAGCCCGAAAACTGTCTGTGAAACATCTGGACACATCTTTTCGATGGCAACTCTACAGTTACACAATATGAATACTACTCTCCTCTCCCCTGATGACGTCCGACGATATCGGACCCCCCTCCGCGTATTGATTTCATACACGATACACACAAGATTCCCTGGGAACTGGGTTTTCGCTTAGGTTTTTTCTTTCAACATGTTGCTCCCGCTGAAGCGCTGGCCTCATTTTCGGCCTTCAACTCGTTCCGAATCGTGCTCCCGCTGCAGCGCTGGCTTCGTTTCCGCGCTTCCACTCGTTCCGAATCGTGCTCCCGCTGCAGCGCTGGCCTCATTTCCTGGTTGTCGTATATGTTTTTGGCAATCCGATTCTCTTCGGTCTTTCAAAATGTTGCTCCCGCTGCAGCGCTGGCCCCATTTCTGCGCCTCTGGTGGTTCCAAAACGTGCTCCTGCTGCAGCGCGGGCGTTTTCGGTCCTTCCCAAATAAGCCCCAAATCTAGAAAATTACCCCCAGAAAAAAACATTGCAAGTGATTACGCATCCGGTGTCGATTCGTTGAGTTTTTGGGCCGCAGAAGGCCCCCCCGGAGCGTCGGCGCTTGGAGGAAGTATCAAGCGGGAGCCCCGTTTCTGCTTTCAGAAGGCGATGTTGCAAGCAGAGCCAGCGGGTGCTCTCCATCAACCTCGCCTTGTGTGGAGCTTGTCGCTGAGCCCAGGGAGCTAAACATGAAGCCGCGACTCCAGACTGGCCTCGACCCTTCGAAGTTTATCCACTTACCCTCCAAGAAACCTGGTGCCCTGCCATGAATGGCTGTGCGGTGTTCTGTTCTGCGCCGGTGTGCGCTGCCATACTTTGCGTTGCAATGCTTTGTGATGCAATACTTCACTACGCAATGATACGCGATGCTATGACATTATACACTCTGACGTGCTCTTCTACGCCATGGCATGCCGTGCTCTACGATGCATCGCGCACCATCTCGCGGTCATCGCCCTGCTCGACATCCGACTGTGCGAATAGAGAGGAGATCTCCGACTGGTAAGGGATGGGAGAGAGGGGTAGGACGTCAGATATGACACGAGCGCGCCTAGCTTGAAGATCGCCCCTCCGACCTCTCCTGGAGGGCGTTTTGCGCAGGATCTCGAGGGGGGATCCAGCCGTGGTTACGAGAGGCCTCCAGGAGGGGCCCCAGAAGAGCAAAACGCGCCGCAAGAAGAATAGACCCTCTAACCTCGACCCCCAACTCCCTCCACACTCTCATTTCGGCGGTGCTCCCAAGGGGGGATCGCAAAAGGGGGCCCGCCTTCTGTGAAGGCTGGCCCTCTCCGCTCTCCCCGCCTGGGCACGCCGCCGACCCGTTGTCATGGCGATCACCACGAGGCATCAGCCCGCGCAGCGCGGCGGATGCCGCCGTGCGGTCGGCGAGCTCCTCGGGCGTGAGCTCGGGCCTCCTGAGGTCCTTCATCCGCAGGGGCGCCACGTCGGACACGAACATGGTCAGGCCAGCCCGCCAGTCGTCGTCAGCCTCTGGGACGGCGAGAGCCCAAAGGGTCAAGACGTTCAACACGGAAGTTTGACCGTTCTTTCCTCCATTCTGGAGATTTCCCTCCACCAGAACGGAAGCTCGACCTCCCAAATCTAGGTCACCTGACTTCGCGCATCGCGCCCCGCGAGGCGCGATTATCTTTGCGCCCTCGCGCTGCCTCCTCGGAGAAGAGCAGCTGCTCTGGTCCAGACCGCAACGCGCGCAACGCGAGTATCCTCGCGGCCCCGCCGGTGACCTAGCCAACTGAGGGTTCTGGATCCTCTGGAGATCATGCGCTGACGCCGATCATGGCCGTGCCAATCATGAGCCCAGGGTCGGCGTCATGCAGCGAACGGCGTACATCGGTCTTGGGCTCAAGATCGGCGTGCCAAGGCTCAGCATTGGTGAAAATATGCTGGTTGCCGTCCGAACCTCGCTGGAGGACGCGTCCTCGTCGTCGTCGTAGTAGTTCCGGATGCTGGGCGACTGCGCCTCGTCGTCGGACAGCCGATCGAAGGCATGCAGATGTAGAAGAACAAAGAACGGCATCGTAAAGATGATGGTTCGGAGGTCCACGCGGATTCCTTGATCGGCGCAGACCCCCTTCCCTCGCGCGCTCCGCGCGCCAGAGGTGCCGCCAGGCAGGGGGCCCCCGCGCCGATCCGAGAAATCCGCGCGGAGCTCAGAAAGCTTACAGTCGGGGCGTTGACCTAAGGAACCCTAAATAAGGAACGAGGCCCCTTTTTTCCATAAGTTAAACTCCGAATTCCCATCGAAAACATAAGGAAAACCTGATGCAAGCTGCGAAACAATTAAGGAACACCGAGCCCCTCCCCAACGAAAAGGGTTCCTTCTCCAGGGCCCCAGCTGTATGCTTAGGCCGTCGTTTGTTGTTCGAAGATGGTCGTCGAAGATCTCGCTGCCGCGGTCGCTCTGCCCCTCGGGGATGGCGCCGTCGAACGCGTCGAGGTCCTCGTCCACCTCCTCCGGCAGGGCCGACATCTGCAGCTTCATCTCCGCCTCGCGCTGCTGGAGGCTGAGCAGGGCGATCGCGTGCCGGTTCTTCTCCTCCTCTTCTTCCTCTCGGCGGCACAGAAAACGACGACACAACAAAGGAACGCTGAATCCTCCGACCCAAGCTGGCTGGGGGTGGCAAGGCGCGTGAGATGATTGGTCGTCGCCTCTCTCCCTCTCCTCCTCCTCCTCCCTCTCTCCCTCTCCTCCTCCTCCTCCCTCTCTCCCTCCCTCCCTCCCTCTCCCTCTCCCTCTCCTCCTCCCTCTCCTGCTCGTGGGGTCTAAAATCCTCCTCCCTCTCCCTCTCCTCCTCCTCCCTCTCCTCCTCCCCTGGGGTCTAAAACCCTACTCGAAGGGGGGGGGGCACGAGCTCGTCAACGCACGGCTCCAGAAGAGCTCCAACACGCCAGAGAGGCCTCAACGACACCCCAGATAGCCTCAGGACGGCCCAAGACGCAGGGCCCCAAGAGGACCTCCCAAGAGGGCCTGTGAAGCCAAAACATACTGATTCTCACAAGGAATTTCCGAACCCTCCCTTGGTTAGGCTCTCGTCTTGAATAGAGCACCGTGGTCTCCGTCACTCCTCCTCCCCTTCCCAACTCTCCCTTGGCTGGGTTCCGGTTTTGAGTACAGCACCGCGGTCTCCATCACTCACTCACTCGCTCACTCACTCACTCACTCACTCACTCACTCCTCCCTCCGTTCTCCTCCTCCTCCTCCTCCTCCTCCTCCTCCTCCTCCTTGTTTAACTGTCGCCACTTTCGTGGGCTCCTGGGAAGCCCAGCAGAGGTACGTCCTACGCAGATCAACACGAGACCTCGCCGTCCCCTGGGGGGGCTGCGATCTGCGGAACTGTCGCCATTTTCGTGGGAGTCCTGGGAGGGCCAGCGGAGGTGCGTCCTACGCAGATCATCACGAGACCTCGTCGCCCCCCTGGGGGCTGCGATCTGCTAAACTGTCGCAACTTTCGTGGGCTCCTGGGAGGCCCAACGGAGGTACGTCCTACGCAGATCACCACGAGACCTCGTCGCCCCCTGGGGGGCTGCGATCTGCGAAACTGTCGCCACTTTCGTGGGCTCCTTGGAAGCTCAGCGGAGGTACGTCCTACGCAGATCACCACGAGACCTCGCCGTCCCATGGGGGGGCTGCGATCTGCGGAACTGTCGCCACTTTCGTGGGAGTCCTGGGAGGGCCAGCGGAGGTACGTCCTACGCAGATCACAAGACCTCGCCGTCCCCTGGGGGCTGCGATCTGCGAAACTGTCGCCACTTTCGTGGGCTCCTGGGAGGCTCAGCGGAGGTAAGTCCTACGCAGATCACGACGAGAGACCTCGCCGTCCCCTGGGGGCTGCGATTTGCGAAACTGTCGCCACTCTCGTGGGCTTCTGGGAGGGCCAACGGAGGTACGCCCTACGCATATCACCACGAGACCTCGCCGTCCCCTGAGGGGGGCTGCGATCTGCGGAACTGTCGCCACTGTCGTGGGCTCCTGGGAGGCCCAGCGGAGGTACGCCCTACACAGATCACCAAGAGCAACCTCGTCGCCCCCTGGGGGGCTGCGATCTGCGAAACGAAACTGTCGCCACGTTCATGTGAGTCCTGGGAGGCCCAGCGCAGGTACGTCCTACGCAGATCACGACGAGAGACCTCGCCGTCCCCTGGGGGGCTGTGATCTGCTAAACTGTCGGCACTTTCGTGGGCTTCTGGGAAGCTCGGCGGAGGTGCGCCTTACGCAGGTCACCATGAGACCTCGCCGTCCCCTGGGGGGCTGCGATCTGCGATCTGCAAAACTGTCGCCACTTTCGCGGGCTCCTGGGAGGCCCAGCGGAGGTGCGTCCTACGCAGATCACCATGAGACCTCGCCGTCCCCTGAGGGGCTGCGATCTGCGGAACTGTCGCCATTTTCGTGGGAGTCCTGGGAGGGCCAGCGGAGGTGCGTCCTACGCAGATCACCACGAGACCTCGCCGTCCCCGATCTGCAAAACTGTCGCCACTTTCGCGGGCTCCTGGGAGGCCCAGCGGAGGTGCGTCTTGCGCAGATCACCATGGGACCTCGCCGTCCCTTATGGGTCTGCGATCTGCTAAACTGTTGCCACGTTCGGGGGGTCCCAGGAGCCCCAGCGCAGGTGCGTCTTACGCAAATCACCACAAGACCTCGCCGTCCCCTGGTGAGCTGCGATCTGCGAAACTGTCGCGACTTCCGTGGGCTCCTGGGAGGCCCAGCGGAGGTGCGTCTTACGCAGATCACCGCGGGACCTCGCCGTCCCCTGAGGGGCTGCGATCTGCGAAACTGTCGCCACGTTCGGGGGGTCCTGGGAGCCCCAGCGCAGGTACATCTTACGCAAATCACCACGAGACCTCGCCGTCCTCTGGGGGGCTGCGATCTGCGAGATCGTCTCCACTTTCGGTGGCTTCCGGGAGATCCAGCTGAGGTGCGTCTTATGCATATCACCATGAGACCTTCTTAGGAGCCCCAGCGCAGGTGCGCCTTACGCAGGGCTCCTGGGAGGCCCAGCAGAGGTACGTCCTACGCAGATCACCACGAGACCTCGCCGTCTCTGGGGGGCTGCGATCTGCGATCTGCGAAACTGTCGCCTCTTTCGTGGGCTCCTGGGAGGCTCAGCGGAGGTGCGTCTTACGCAGATCACCATGGGACCTCGCCGCCCCATGGTGGGCTGGGTTGCGACGTTGGGGGGTCCAGCGGCGCTGCTCCCATGAATTATGCCTCCAATCGTCACTCCCTTTGGTGTTTCCACATTCCCTCGTGGCCGCCTTCCTGCCAGCGATCTGATTCTCAAAAGCGACGCCGCATATTTGAACATGTGACTCTGGCCCGACGTTCTCTGGCGAATCGTTCAAGGACACGGCGGATCCTTCAGTGTTCGCTTTTGCATTGAACGGTCCGATGTATAGTCGCCTCATGTGTACAATAGGTTGGGTACGTCCCTGGGTAATTGTAGTATTTCCGCGCTCTTGCCTTGTCGGAGTTCTGCAAACCAAATCGGCGCGAGAGGCCCCCCAGAATGGCCCAAGGCGGCCCAAGAGGTCCCCAAGAGGGCCCAGAGACGACCCAAGATGCCCTCGAGACGGAATAACAAAAAGAAAACTCCAGAGGCCCCACGATGAGCCCAAAAGAGGCCCAAGAGGGGGAACCCGCAGGGACACCGGGAGCCCTCCCCCACAAGATGGCCCTCAAGGCCTCCAACATTAACCCAAGAACCCACGAAGCCCCCAGAAGGTACCGAAAAACTCCTGGGAGCCCCGACTGAAAGCGCCAGGAGGCCGCCCTCTGGGTCTCCAAGAAGCTCCCAAGAAGCCCCGCAACAGACACTGAGGAAGAGGACGAATCAGCAGCAACTGCACGCAGGCCGCAAGACGGAGATTCGCAAACAACACGCGCGAAATCGGAAGCCGCTCATGCATGTACTCTTCGGGGGGTCGGCGGAATGGCGTAAGCCTCTCGAATAAGAAGCGAAGGGGCTTTCCTGGCCGCAGCCAGCCTCGGCCACGAGTAGGTCCCCCGACCTAGATCTGAGAGGCGACCCGAAGACCAGAGCCCCTCTTCAGCCCAAAGCGGTCCTTGTTCTAGCGTCTTGACTGTAGACGTTTGGGATATGGGGGTGCGTGCGGTTTTCTTAGGTATGCGCTGGACCTGCCTTCCCGCACCAATGCGCGCGGAGCGCTTACGGGGCAGCGCTGGAGGAACCGCCAGGGGGTCCAGCGCCGACCCCTTTTTATGTGCTGACATCCGAAAACTTACCTTCGTGTTCGTGTTGTGATTCTTCCTCATCGCTCGATCCTCGGCCCGGCGGAGTCTGGTCCAGGTCGCGAGGGGATTGACCGTGCGGCCGTGTATAAACGTGTTGACGGCCTTCGCCTTCAGGCCGGTCACGCTGCCCACGTCGCTGAGGGGCAGCGCGATGGCGTTCGGATCGGCGCCGCCCTCCAGGAGCGCACGTACCCTGTCGGTGCTGCCGGCCTCTCCGCGGCAGAGCTCTGGGGCTGCGCACTCAGCTCCCCAGGGGCGGTCCTGGCCAGCCTCCACGGGCTCCCATGGCCCTAGAGGGTGAAAGGCCTCTAAAGTCCAGCATTCATTCTGGAGGCTTCTTCCCTCCGTTATGTCAGCTTTTTGCCCTCAGAGCGGAAGCTCGATCTCCAGCATGGAGGTTTCGATCCTCTGGGGCAGTCCCGGACGCTCCACGCACCCCAGCCCTGGGGCGCGGGGCGCCTTGAGTAGGTGGCGACATCCGAACCCTACCCCCACCAGCCATCGATTCAATTTTCGGATTCGGATTCGGATTTCGGATTCGGATTTCGCCACGTGCTCGAGGAGTCCCACCAGCTCTTCAGGGCGTGAGTGGTTGAGGGCGTTTCCTCTTCCTCACTCTCTTCTGCCCCTTCGGGGAAGGGTTTATCTCTGTTCCCTATTGGTAAACACCCCCTCCCCCAGGCGACCAGCAGCCAACCAGGACCAATGAGGCCGAGGCCCCCCTGAACATCCCTGTCAAAACAAACAAAGTTAAATGCACGTTGGGGCAAAGTACCTTGTATTGTATTTTGGACAGGGACGCCGGCGGTGCCCGCATATTGCATGCTGCACGCAGGGCCATCATCCCTATCAATAAATAATACAAATTGCTCTTCGAGACGAAATCTGGATCATGCGCGAGCACCCCGCGATCACTGTGCATTAGTCTTTGACTGGGTCGGCGGGGGTGCTGGTATATTGCCTGCTCCATGCAAGCCCACTGACACTATGACGGCCACCCCGCCGCGATTGCGCACTGGCTTTCGACAAGGGTGGTGGGGGCCAACACGTTTCCCGATGTGTACTGCCACGTGCGCAGGCGCACCTGGCACACTCTGCGTGTGCCCCGGATGTGGCGCACCTGGCGCGGCTGGAGCATGCGGCACGCATGACGCAGGTGGATCACGTGGCGCACGTGGATCACTATCGATATCACCGCCTCGCCACCGACGGGACAACCGGCTCCACAGCCCCTAGCCACGGCGGCATCATTCCTCTCGCGCGCCCACGCAACTTCGCCGCGCCCGCACGCACGACACAAACACTAAACCGAAACCGATTTCCCGGTGGGGGGCTCTCCGTTCCACTGCGATCTCACCCCCTCACCTCCGATGGCGTGTCCTGTGTATGTGTGTAATGCGTGTGCGGCTGTATGTGGACGTGTGTCTCAATGTGGGTGCAATGTTTGTGTTGCGTGCGTCTGGCTTATAGATGGTGCGCTGAACACGGCAAGTGTGTACTACCGTGGCTGTAAAGAATTAGCGCGAAGCCCATTCGTAACGTTGAATTCCGCCATGCAATGAGATAGAACACAACCTAAGCGTAACCGAACACGGATTGAGAAAAAGTGCTCCCGTAGTTCGCGTTTATTTGTTTTACATGTTCACGGGCTGCCAGAGGTTTTACCGAAGCCTGGAGGTCGTGGCCTTTGAATGACGAGTTCCAACGTTACGGATTGGTTTCGCGCTAATTCTTTGCATCCAGGAGTAAGGTTGTATGGTGCGCGTGTGTGTGTGTGTGTGTGTGTGTGTGTGTGTGTGTGTGTGTGTGCGTGCGTGCGTGCGTGCGTGCGTGCGTGCGTGCGTGCGTGCGCGCGTGTGCGCGTGTGTGCGCGTGTGTGCGCGTGTGCGCGTGTGCGCGTGTGCGAGTGTGCGCGTGTGCGCGCGTGTGCGCGTGTGTGCGCGTGCGCGCGTGTGCGCGCGCGCGTGTGCGCGCGTGTGCGTGTGCGCGTGTGCGTGTGCGCGTGTGCGCGTGTGCGCGTGTGCGCGTGTGTGCGTGTGCGTGTGCGTGTGTGTGCGTGTGCGTGTGCGTGTGCGTGTGCGTGTGCGTGTGCGTGTGCGTGTGCGTGTGCGTGTGCGTGTGCGTGTGCGTGTGCGTGTGCGTGTGCGTGTGCGTGTGCGTGTGCGTGTGCGTGTGCGTGTGCGTGTGCGTGTGCGTGTGCGTGTGCGTGTGCGTGTGCGTGTGCGTGTGCGTGTGCGTGTGCGTGTGCGTGTGCGTGTGCGTGTGCGTGTGCGTGTGCGTGTGCGTGTGCGTGTGCGTGTGCGTGTGCGTGTGCGTGTGCGTGTGCGTGCGCGTGCGCGTGCGCGTGCGCGTGCGCGTGCGCGTGCGCGTGCGCGTGCGTGTGTGCGTGTGTGCGTGTGTGCGTGTGTGCGTGTGTGCGTGTGTGCGTGTGTGCGTGTGTGCGTGTGTGCGTGTGTGCGTGTGTGCGTGTGTGCGTGTGTGCGTGTGTGCGTGTGTGCGTGTGTGCGTGTGTGCGTGTGTGCGTGTGTGCGTGTGTGCGTGTGTGCGTGTGTGCGTGTGTGCGTGTGTGCGTGTGTGCGTGTGTGCGTGTGTGCGTGTGTGCGTGTGCGCGTGTGCGCGTGTGTGAGTGTGCGCGTGTGCGCGTGTGCGCGTGTGCGCGTGTGCGCGTGTGCGCGTGTGCGCGTGTGCGTGTGCGTATGCGTGTGCGTGTGCGTGTGCGTGTGCGTGTGCGTGTGCGTGCGTGTGTGTGTTGTGTGTGTTGTGTGTGTTGTGTCTTGTGTGTTGTGTGTGTTGTGTGTGTGTTGTGTGTGTTGTGTGTGTGTTGTGTGTGTGTTGTGTGTGCTGTGTGTGTTGTGTGTTGTGTGTTGTGTATGTTGTGTGTTTGTTGTGTGTGTTGTGTGTTGTGTGTGTTGTGTGTGTGTTGTGTGTGTTGTGTGTTGTGCGTTATGTGTGTTGTGTGTTACGTGTGTTTTGTGTGTGTGTTGTGTGTGTTGTGTGTTGTGTGTTGTGTGCTGTGCGTTGTGTGTTGTGTATTGTGTGTTGTGCGTTGTGTGTTGTGTGTTGTGCTTTGTGTGTGTGTGTCTGCGCGGCTGTAAGTGTGTGTGCCTGTCTAATGCGTGTCTGTGTGTGTACGAACGCGAGTGTGTATCCAACGAGGAGGAGAGGGGGAGGTGTGTGTGAGGAGACGCGGATCGACGCGGGAGGAAAGAAAACCACAACCCCACTGACCATGTAGGAAACAATGCTGTTCTCAGAACATACGCCCGATATCTTTAGAACAGACGGTCTCAGCTGGAAATGATGTTGTAAGAACATGTCGTGCATACTCAAGGTTCTTCGAAACTCTTCGGTGGGCCTATAGGCAGGTCAAGACGCTTCGCCACTCCTTGACCCGGACTGCCCCCGGGGGCTGCCCTTGCACAGTCCCAGGCCTTGTCAACTTCCCCCCCCTGGACTTTTCCTGCAGCCTCTGCCGACCAGGAGGCCTCGGGGCGGCGAGGAGGGCTATCTCCGAGGGGACCGACGACTTCCAGTCGGAACGGCTGATGGACAAATTCATGTACCCGCTACACCCCGCGAAATGCTTTAGAAATCATGGGTTAAGAAATTGATAGTCTCAGAATTTAAATAAAAACCCAGAAGGCCCATTCAAATCTTAGGATTTACATTGAAACATTAAGAATAATCGAGACTCTGGCCGAAAACTTAGGTTTTCTCAAGCATCGCCTAAGGTGTATGCTTCTTTTTGTGAACACCCCCCGCGCCCCCGACTTGCGCGATGTGGTCGAAGTCCTGCACCCCGCTGGCGATGCCGACCAGCATTGGATCGGGGGCAGGGAGGCGCGTTGAAGTTCGCGCCGGCACGCTGGTCGCGCGGGCGGTGCAGGCTTTTGTCCGTCCACCGAGGGTCAGACCTCCACTCTGGAGGCGAAAAGCCTAAGGAATGGAGGACAAATGCTCCAGAATCGAGGTCGGACCTCCGTTTTGAAGGCCTTGGGCCCTCCGGGTGTGGGAGGCCCCCAACAAGGCAGAGGGCATCGACTTCCCGGAGGGCGAGGCCTCCTCGCCAGAGCTGGGGCCCCGCGCCATGCTCAGGGCAGAGTCAATCTCTGGGACCCCTCCCAGACGCCATCCTGACCAGTGTTCTAGAAAGGGGCCCAGGGAGACACAAACAAAGAGACACGAATTCCAAGATCCCCCGATGTTGTTCTATCGTCTGTGGTCATCGCCCCACCAATCTCCAGTGGTTGCGTAGATGCATAGATTTGTGTGAACGTCGGCGTTCATGGGTGTTGGCGTCTATTCGTCCCTTCTACCTCTCGCCATCGCTCGGACGTCCATTCCCCGTGCATTTTTCGATTTCGTGCGTGCATTTTTCGCTAAATGATCAAAGATGTTCCTCGATGGTCCTCGCCGAGAAAAAGTGCACAAGTCCGAGCGATGCCAAGACCTCTACGTGGATCACTTCACTTCGCCCGCCACGCCCCGCGATGCACCACGCGCCGTCGCGCCCTCGGGGCGCCGCCCTGCAGTGGGGCGGCCCACCAGTCTTGGCCGCGGCGCGCGAGGTGCGCTCTGGACATGGTCGGTTTCCCCGAGGTGGGTGGACTCAAGCCGCAGGCCCCGCTCCTTTGAATCTCAGCCTTGCGACCATATTCCCCGGCAACACAAGCCCACGAGCTCACGAGAAGGGGCGGCGGCTGCGCGATTGAGCCCCTCTTGTATCATTCGCGATGGCTCCCGTGACCGCCCCCCCCCCCCCCTTGGTCACGTCACTACTCGCGCCCGCGCCGTCCCCCCCTCTCCCCCCTGGTCACGCCGCGGTCACGCCCGTGATCGGGGAGGAAAGAAACTGCCTCGTGGACAGCGGCTGGCGAGATGGCAGCACCCAGAGAGACGAGGCCATGACGGGAGGCAGGCAGGAGGCAAGTGGTGGGAGGCGCGGCGAGGCCTCTGGGAACGGCAGTGCTCCATCCAAGGCAAGCTCAGGGCACCCCCAAGCTGGAACTCTGGTGAGCCAGGACGTTGGCGCGCCCGAGGAAACTGCAGCCGCGGCTCGAGGCATCCTTCACTCGTCGTTCTCTTCAGGTGGAACGTTTCGTGTTTTAGGGGGCCTTGACGACTGCCCAGCACATGAAGGCTGGGAAAAATGTTGATTGAACCCGCCAGGCCTCCGCGGCCACCATCAGCGCCGTCCGCCCGGCCTTTGGTCTGCGGCGCGCCGAGGTGGGGAAGTGAGAGGGGCAGGCCTTCTCGGAAGGCGGCGGGGCTCCTCAGAACCCAGGCATGCTCGCGTCGTGACAAAAAATGCGACGGGCGGTTTGGGCCCATGTTCCGCCTCTGGGAGCCCTCGCCAAGCACCAGCACTGTAACACAAAACGATTGGGAACGAAGACCCGGCCCCGAGGAGAGAGTCGGGACTGCCGGGGACCGCGTACGGTTCAGATCCAGACATCGCACGTCTGGGAAGCCGTCCAGCCTCCTGAGCAGCCCTGCCCCCGGGGAAGGCCCATGACGTCGACAGCTCCCCAGAAGGGCCCGAGGGCCAGAGGCCTTCCGAGCCTTCCGACGAGGCCCGCCCCCCCCCCTCTTCCCCCCCTGGGGGCGCGCCGCCGAGCTCAGCAGGAGGGAGGCGCGCGCTGAGCGGAGCGGGTGCTGCATCCCTGGGCCTCTCCCCGGGACGAGCCCTCCACGCTGACAGCCGTTGCTCCGCTGCCCCGTGGCCCAGAGAAGAGCCCCCAGGAGCCCGAGAACTGCCACGAGGAACATGGGGCACCGCTTCCCTGTCAGGACCCCCCAAAGGATCGAAAACCTCCAAACTGAAGGCTCGGCTTCCGTTCTGGAAGCTCCTGCCCCTCCACTCTGCAACAGCCTTGTTCTTCCAGAACGGAGGCTCGACCTCCGAAATGAACGTTTTCGGTCCTCGGGGCCTTTCCTGAGCAGGAGGTGCAAACACCGGCCCGTGCTCTGACCAGAACTCCAAAGCAAATCTGGCCATGGCGACGACGGCTCTCCTGGACGAGCAGCCGTAGCAGTATCCTTTCCTGCTCGATCCCCTGAGATCCGACGTCGCGAAAGGACGCGACATCGCGAAGAACAACGATGGTAGGTCTAGAGACCTCATCACTCTGCGGCACTTTTCGACCCTGATCGATATATGATGGCGCCTGGGCCCGAAGCCGCCAGCGAAAACGCGCGTCGTGCACAGAAACGCAACGCACGCATCTCAAGATCTTCCTTGACAAAGCCTCGGGTTGCGCACAGACAGCCCTTCCAAATGGTCCCGGCTGGTCTCAACGGGCCCGCTGCGTACGTACTCTCGGGTGGTCACAACACTCCAATCCTGGGGCGCGGAGCGCCCCAGGGGCGGCGCAGGAGGCGGCGCCAGGGCTTGAGACCGCGTGAGACTATGCAGGAAGCCCGCTGAGGCAACTGAGCGACAAAAAGAACGGGTCTTACGCGAGATGACATAGCGACCCTACGCGGTGGCTTCCGCGTGCAACCAGCGCGGCACGCTACGTTGAAAACGGGGGCGCTTACGCGCGACCTTACGCGGGCAACTTACGCGCGGTTGTCGGTGCAGTCAAACCCGCTTGTCTGCGTCGCTCAGCTGTGCGCGACCCGAAGCCTCACGACCTTCACCGCGAGGGCCTTGTTCCCCGCCTCCGGGTCCGCCGACGCCCCCAGCAGCGCCCGCAGCACCGCGGGCACGTCGCCGCCCTTCTGGGGAAACCAAAGGGTATACTCCGCTGCTCCGCGGATCTCCCACGGGGCGCATTCTGACCAGAATCTCGCGGCGAATCCAGCCGTGGCGGCGAGGGTCTCCCACGAGCGCCCCAAAAAGGCGAAAACAGGGCAATGGAGGCGATGCCGGCACGTTTTCCTCCTTTGACCTGCTCGGCCCCGGAGCCCGGAGAGCGCCCCCGGACGCCGAAAACGACGACAAGCCGCCGCCTTGATTTTCCCAAGGCGTGGGAGGTGTGGGCGCCTTTCCCCTCGGGAGGGGCGGAACGTGTCTAAACAGGCGTGTTGAAAAGCGGGGGCGGGGCCACGCAGCACAACCTCCTTGTTTTTTGGGGGGCCGCTTGGCAACGCGAGAGCGACCCCCGCCCTTTGTGGACACATGTTCCGAACTATCGCTGGCTTAGACGCCCCCCCGTTTTGGACACGACAATGGAAAAGTGGCCACAGCAAAAGCACGTGTCGAAGAAAAACAACGCTGTGTTTTTTGTTCAAGCCGCCTGACACACATATGAACAACAAGTAGCATAAAACATAATTGCCCAGAGGTCCGCGCGGATTTCTTGGATCGGCGCTGGACCCCCTCCTCCTGGCGCGCGGAACGCGCCAGGGGCGACGCCGAACACGCCGCCTGGGGAGCCCGCCGCCGATCCAATAAATCCGCGTTTGGGTTACTCGATAGTGCAACTCCATGCGTTACCCAGTGCCCCTGAGATTCACAGGGTGGGGATGTGTTCCTGCACAGTCATAATCATGTGTAACAACCTCCTTGACACAACATTCAATAATCACGCTCGGTCGGCGGAGCCTTCATCAGCTCGCTTCGCACTACTGGTCGTCTGATACTTGAGGATTGTCCAATCGAATACGAAGTCGTACTGGTACCCCTCGCGGAGTGTATATATATATACACATATATATATATTATATTATATATATATATATATATATATATATATATATATTACACACGTAAGCGGCGCAAGTACGCGCAACCGGGGCGATCTTCGAAGCGCAAGCTACGGCAGTAGTTTAGATACGTGGCGAACTCCACGGGAAAGTGCTTGCACAGCACCTCGATCGGTGTGGACATGTTTGTTCTCCACTATTGTTTCGCATTTCTCCTTTTGACCATTGGCTTTTAACCCCTGCCACGGCAAGCTGCCGCGATTGAACTACATCAACACGTAGTCTACCGCCTCGAGGTCGTCGCGTCGGCTCTGCTCGATTCCCTGGTGTGTGTGTGTGTTCACACTCGCGTACCGGGCAGTGCCTGCCAGAATCTGGCCCTCACGGTAGCGGATGTGCTGCTGGGTCTTCGCGCTCTTGTACTTGCTGGCCAGCCTGAAGTTGATAATGTGCACCGAACTGGCCTTCTTCCCCAGGCCAATGTGGAAGTTGTCGGGCTTGATAGCGCGCGTGCTCGCAGCCGATGCTGTAGCCGCACTCTGGACCTCAACATCCGAACGACCTCCATCTCAAGTTTGTTGTAGTTGGCTGGAAGGAGGTCACGGGCTGCTCGAGTGAGGAACTCTGGCTGAAGTACCTCTTGTCCTGGTTCCAGGGCCACTCCTTCACGTTGGCCGTCCAGAATTTTGAATAGGTTCCTGCTGTCGAGATTCTGAGCGCGGCGGCTGCGCCCGCGTCTTTTGCAGGCGAAGTTCGTCGCGACATTGTTCTTCATCCGGAAAAAGACATGCTGCTTGTCGTTGGCGTTCTGGCTGTGCTCTTCGAGCTTGCTGGACCATGACGCGAAACGCCGTTGCGATAAAGATTGCCGCGTCGCCAGTCCAGTCACTGCGACCGCGTTTGGTCTCCCTGGGCATAGACGTCGTGCGTTTTCCCAGGCGACGCCTCTGTTGCCTCGTTTTTGTAGCCCTGCAAAGTGATGTCCAGCTGGCATCTGGCACATTTGAGAGACAGTTTGGTCATGTCGGGAAATCTTCCCAGGAACAAATGTTGATATTCATCTCCCCGCGCTCGATGGCCGTGGAAAAGTCGCCCCTCTTCTCTCTGGCGAAAGAAATATGGCAGAGTGCTGAAATGCTCTTGGTCCTCTTCCGTGATCGCATCCGCTAAACTTTCGTTTAGAAAACTGCGTCTCGGCCTGCGCCGTGCACATTGTGGTGCCACCAGTCCTTCATGCCGCGTTTCTCCACTGGCATCGCCGTTTGCCTCGCGCTCCCCGCCGTAGATGCACTGCGAAGTTGCCCTTCCAAACTGGCTGCACATTGCGCCGAGGCAGATGCAACGCGGCCCATGGCTGGACACTGCCTCGCGTTTTTCTCTCGCGCGACAATGTTGCACAGACAGTTGTTGGCCGCCTCGGGCGTTGTTAGCCTAAGTCGGCCTTTCCACCCCCGATAAAATCTCTAGCCCAAGAGGAAATAAGTGTCAGCATCTTATATGAGGCGGGATTACTGCTCGCCCTTTCTTCGTGCTGTCTCGATGCGATACTCTGGCCTGTCTGTTGCATTCAATCCCAAAGCGTCGCAGTAAATTGTTTGTGGCTGCCGTGGACATAATTGCCTGCGCACCTATGCTGCCCCCTGCATATCCGTCTCGTAGCGCCATCTGCTCACCAATGGCGCACGTGAAATCCGGCAGAGCCGTGATGGGCGCCGTCGCATAGGTAGCTGGCGCGTCCAAGGCCTCTGGCGTCGGTGGCGGCTGTAGGTCAACATGTGTGCTGCTCCAGTGCCAAAATAATGCCTGCGCGTTCGATAATTTCCATGCCCTGCCAACTTTCGTAAACGTCGTCTCGTTCAATCTCCTATTTCGTAGTGGTGGAAAGCCTTTCCCTGTGGTTCTGGGTTCCCACCAGAAGTTGGGAAAAGCCCTCTCCTTCGTCGCAGATATCCCTCCACCCAGTACAGCGTCTGATGGAATTGCTTGCTCTGTTGTCGGGCTGCTGCTGTGTCGTGGTTGGTGGATTCGCGATGGTGATGCTGATGCGTCGTGGTGCTGTGCTGCAGTCGGGCTGCTGCTGGCTGCCGTCGGACTGCTGCTCGTTGATGCGCTGCTCTTTGGGTGTGTTGTCGAAACTAATATGTCTAACTCCTTAGCGTGCTTGTGTCTGTTTGGTGCCGTGTCGTCGAGTGGTGGTTGCTTCCGTGTCAGTCGTCGTCTTGGCTGCTTCTCTGGTGTACTTTCGTGGCTCGGAGTCGTAGGTGGTCGGTGGTCTCCTGTCCTCTCTGGCGTCGGTTGGTCGGTGAGTTTGGGCGTCGGCATATCCTCCCCCATACTCCCTCCATGTCCACATGCATCAGGTTCCTCGTCCATGTTCCCGCCGAGATTCGATGCATCGTACTCTTCGTCGCCATAGTCGCGTTGTTGAGGTACCTCGCTTAGTTCCTGCTTTTGCTCGAGATTCTCCTGCACATGTGCACCCCGGTCAGCTTTACCGGAAAAATTGAAGCCTTCAGCAGCCTTTTCTTGGATGAAGTCAATCCACATGCCCTGCATGTATTGTGTCATCTTGATGCGAGCCTTGTATTTCTCGGCCGTCTAAAGGTCGATATGATGTCGTAGTGCTCCTTGAACAGCCCTGCGATATGCTTGCTCGTTGCGTTCGCGCGCTGATCGTTCTGCTGGTCGTTCGTGTTCACGCTCGGCTTGCTTCTGTTGACTGCGAACTTTCCACAGTTTGAAATTATCATCGCCCTTGGCACGTATCGGTCTCTGGATTCAAATAAATCTTGATGGGGCTTGAATCGAATATTACGTCTTGAAATGATCGCCGGCAACCCCTTACCCACGTAGTTTGAATCCGTGGCATATACCGGACGCGACTAAGGCCAAGCAACCCACCGTAGAGCCGATCGTACTTCTGACCGTTGTGCATTCCGCACTGGCCCCTGTGGATGAGCCGCCGCGTTGTGTGAATGTGCTGGTCCGTAATGCACTCCCCACCCTGCCCGTCGCAGGCGAAGGTCGATCTGTCCTGCTGGTGCAGCCGCGTCACCTGCAACCACCAGGAAACCCTCCGAATCGACGAACGTCGCGTCCTCATCCGCATCGGCGAGCCTCGGATGTGCTGGATCAGGATCCTCCTGTGCACCCAGCACTATGTTTGAGAAATGTCTGTCCAAATCGTCATCATCGAGAATGATTCCCGTGGGCTTGGTGATCATAGGAATGGTCGCAATCGGCTCCGTTGCGTACCTCTCACGGAACCAACGCCGCGTTTTGTTGAATGCCGTACACTCGTGCAGAACATGGTACAATGTCTCAGTTGTTGTGATGGGCGGTAAGGGCATTTGTTGTTACTCATATATCCAGCCGCGCACAGTTTCTCTGATGTGAGTAATCCTGCTGACCATAGTAGTCTGCAGGATGCTCGTCGTCTGTAATTCCATCTGTGTGGCTGCAGAGCTGGCGCACCTGGGACATCCGATACTTGTACTTTCTTGTCTTTCCGCCGTCTCGCTGTGCAATGCTTGACCGTCGCCTCGCAATCGGCCCCTGCTTGTATCCCGTCGGATTCGGCTCGGAGGCGTCGGTCTTTGTTGGTGTGCGCGTGGAATGCTGTCTTCCAAAATGCTCTTCGCAAGCCCGTCCTCAGCAAGTGCTTGAAGATCAGATCGCCGGAGTTCGAGAGATGAAATTTGTTTCCCGCACACCTTGCGATCGTGAGATTGTCGCCAAGAGTCCACCCTGTATCTTTGAGGACTTGGTTGAATACCTTGGCTTGGCAGGTCCGTGGGTCGCGTGTGCTCTGGGATTGTTCCGTGCGTGCTGCTGCTGTATCTGAAGAAAGCTGCGCACCAATCCATGTATTTTTTCCATCAGCCGTCGGAAAACCACAGCCGCCCAACACCGCACTGCAACCCAAGGTTCCATAAGATGTCCGTGTCCCGCCGAGGTCATTGTCGCAGTCCGCGTTGCGTGCATAGTTTGGCCTGCCAGAGTAGCTCCGCGGGCCCTGGCGGCAGTGCGTTGTAGCGCAGTCGTGCAATATAGATGCGTTCGCTCCCGTAAAAGGCTGGCGAAGCAAATGCTGCGAGGCATCTTTCCCGAACGTCATCAGCTCCAGGCCCCCTGTCGACTCGCGAAAATATTTCATAATAGATAATCGTTTGCGACACGTCGAGCTGTAAACTTGCTCCGTTGGGCGCTGGACGTAGCTGTGCCGTCTGGTAGCCGCCTACCTAGATAACCGCTCGTGAACACTTCAGCTTCGTGTCTCTGAATTCTCGTTCCACTGCACGTCGTATTTCGTCTGTGCTAGCCAGGGCCTTGGTCTTGGCCGCGTTCAGCACGCAACCTGTAAACTGCCCGTAATTGCTGCCTTCTGCCCGAGCTAATCGCCCTTGCCGCACCACTTAGTCTACTCGATGTCCGCGGTGCTGCATTGAGTCGTCAGCGAGGCCTGCCGTCCTGCATTCAGTCTTGCTCGCGGGACTGAGGCCGCGCCGCCATGGCTGCTGTTGATACCTGGATAGAACTGTTCTGCTGCTCGATCAAGCTTGAATCTGCATCGGGCACTCCTCACCAGTCTGACCTCCGCGTCAAGGTAGCTCCTGGCCTCCGGCGTAGTGCTCTCGCGGTTCGTGCGCTCCCGCAGTATTCTGTCGGCCGCCGCCCTGCATATCGAATCGATACTTTCACAGCCTATACTGAATATGAATGCATGCTGTTGTTGTAGCCTGGCGAGCTCGGTCTCGATAGCGCGGGCCATCGTGACTTCTCGGGCCCCATGTCCTGCCCGTGCTCCGCGCATCGTCGGTGGAGTCCATGTTTCCCGCCAGGCTTTGCGTAATTCCATCTCGCTTTATCCCATGCTGAGACCAGTGGGGAAAAATTGCCGTTGGCTCGAGTCTCCTCAGCAGGCGGCAGAAGGAAATCCCCCTCCACCGCGCCTGCGTCGGGAGGTGTCGTTTATGAGGGGGGCGACTCTACCCCCAAAGACTCACCAGAAAATCAGCAAGCAAACTGAACGAATATTCGGACCCCTCAAGAAGGGCCCGGAAAAAGCAAGCAAGCAAACCAAACATCGAATGTCAACCCCTTCAAACGAGCAAGCAAGCAAATAATCCCTGATCCCCTAACCTCCTTGATGAAAAACTATATATATAATATATATATTATATATATATATATATACATACATAAAGAAAAACGCAACAGCATATGAACCCAAACACTTTTCTGAAGCACGCATGCAAGCATCGAGCTGCCTTCATTCACGAATCTTTTTCGGATACCCGCTTCGGAGATTACGCATTCATTCTGCATCTTGCACAACGCAATGCAAAATATTTCAACGATTTTTCCGAATTCCGAAACTTCGGCACAAACTAAAGCAACGAAGTTTGAATTCATATCTAAATATTGTTCGGGACGGTCGCTGCGAAATTGATGCATTCATTTCTGCATTCTCGCAAATTAATACACGGAGAACTTCATGAACATTTTTCCGAATTTTCAGCCCGACTTCCTTTCTACGTATTTTTCGAACACCCGCTGCGCAAATGACGCAATTACTTGCATTCCCGGACAGCGCGGCCATAGAAGACTTCAACGAGCATTTTTTTCAGAATTTCCCAACTTCGGGAACGAAATGAATCGCTGAAGTCGAAACGCCTGATGCGAAAATAATGCATTTATTTTGCACTCGTGGACAGCACGGCCAAACAAATCAACGAGCATTTCAAAAAATAAAATCTCGCGCGCTCACGCACGCGTAGGTCCCGAAATTGTCCAAGTTGGCCCCAGAGCTGTCCCAGTGTGACCACAAGATGGCTTCAGGATAGCGAATTCGCACGTGAAGCCCGCGCGTCCGAGCTCCCCCATGGCTCCATGGAGCCGTCCAATCCGCGAGGGCTTCCCAGGGCCTCTCAGAAACTCGCAGGGGTTCCCCAAAGCTCCGCTGGCCGCTCTATGCTTCCGGAAGCTCTGCACAACTCGCCGAGGCCTGCCCAGACTCCGCAATGCCTCTTAGGACTTCTCGATGCCTGGGGCCCGGGGGTCGGCGGCAAATAGCCCCTTCAGGAACTGCTCATAACTGCTCCCCGCAGCCGCCAAAAGCCCTGTTGGAGCCTCGGGGGAGCCCCAGGGCGCCCTTCACGGTGGCCCCAGAAGACCCGCAGATGCAGCAAAGCCAAGGCCGCCAAAACAGCAAGCAAGCAAAGGGCCCCGACACCCTTACCCCCTTCCAGAAAAAAGCAGCAAGCAAGCAGACGCAGGGCCAGACACTTGCACCTGAAAGCCTGAGTCGCCTCCCTGATTGTCGTTTTGCGTGAGGCCAAGGCAAATGCTGCCACCGATGCTGGTGGCCATTCTCCTCCTGCTTCTCTACGTTGAAAGACTTTGCAATGCAAATTCGTTATCCGTCGCGGTAAAGACCTCAGTTAAACTACTCTGTATCCGCAACATGCCACCGCCCGTGCTTTGTTGAAGGACTGGATAGCTGCGTGCACTGTGTCGGTCTGATGAAATCCCTGTATGCCGCGTGGAACTTGTCCCAAGTGATCTCGCCGATCGTTTCGTTGAAAAACGGTTCCCGCGTCTTCCTGAGTGCCTGCAATGCGTCGTCTGGTAGTATCGCGTACGAGTGCTTGTTGTGTCGGGTCGTTGCGCTGGTTGATGGTACCCAAATTGCCGTGACCGGCTCGTCTCGAAGGTCTCATGTGGGTTCGCAGTCGCTCTCGTCGTTGTCGTGGCACTGCAAAGTGTCGCTCTCCACGTCTGTAATCGTCCTGCAAGTCCGCGTTTGTCGTGGAGCTTAATATGCTGCTCCACTCTGCTGCGTAGCGTCGTATATCGCGCTAGCGTCGGGACTACTATTACGAGCATATCGTCGATCAACGCGAGCTCTTTGAGACCCTTGACAATTTTGCTCCACAAGCTGATCATCTGCATCTAGATACTGAGCGACGGAGTCGGGTGGATCGTGTGCTGGATGATCAGTTCGTGGAGTCGTCGTTATATATTGAGCAGTCTGACCGTCTTGTGTAGCCAGGGGTCCCGCGGTGCACTTCTGGACGAGGCTCGGCACGCCATGCTGTCTTGTTCCATGGAAATGCCTCGACATCTACCTGTGGGGCCTTTCTCCGAAGAAGGTGCTTGGTCACGTCGTTTGTCCACGTATTATTATGCGATGCTCGTGGCTACTTCAAGCGTCAGTGTCGGATATCGCGGGTTCTCTGCGCTTGTAAGCTTGTCCGCGCACCTCTGAAAGATGCCGTCTAAGAGCTCCTCGTGCAGGTCTTTGTCTGGTGGTGGTAAGTCATCAATGGAATATGTCTTTGGCTGTCGTACTCTCCATCTCATCATCTGCAGTATGGTCGCGTCGATGGCTAGTTTGATAAGTAAGAGTCGAAGAAACCGGCTGTCCCGGAGCAAAGTGTAGCTCCTGACCAAGGTCGCTGCTGCTGCGTTAGCAAAGAGTCTATCTGGTCGGATTGCATATTGCCCGCTGCTCACTCGACCCTAATCTTTTTTGCCGCGCCCCGTGGCCGGCGCAAACCTGGCCCCCAAGTCCACCCGCTGCCCCGTCGCAACTGCATCCCGAAAAATGACTGGATCGTCTCCCATGTTCACGTCCGCGCAGAAAAACACCGGCTGCGCGCCAACCGTTGCGCCCTGCGCGAAAACATCATCCACCATGCCTTCCTTCCTTGCGCGCGCTGCTGGGCCGTGCCCAGCGTCGCTGTAGTAGCAAATTATGCGTAGAAGATGCGGCGCGCCTCCGTTTGAAATGATAGGAAGAGCTGCCTGCGTCAGTCTGCGACGTTCAAAAACTCCCCTTGCTGGCGTCGCCCAGGCGGCGCAAGCCTCTGGTGAGAAAGAAGTGTTTATGATAATTCCAACCCCTCCGTGCGCTCCTGGGCTGTCTGGAGTCGCGATTGCGTTGGGTCGTATTTGGTGAACTGGCAGTGGCTTCCCGCCTAGGTAGCTGAGTCCTTTGGATACTGCATGCGCGGTCGCCTTGATCTGCGCTGCTGCTGTCAAACGAATCTCTTGGAGCGCAAGAATCTCAGCCTGTTCTGTGCGCATAAGTTCGTAAACCGAGTTCTGATGCCTTCGCCAACTTGTGATGTTGGCCGATATGAGTGTGAGCATCGTCATTAATAAGGTTCACTGGCTGCTGCTTTGGTGGCCCTGCCTGCTCCCTTGATATCGGCTACCTGCGCGAGGGTCTGTTGCTCCTGGCGTTGGGCCTTGAAGACTTGTACATCTTGGATCGTTTTGGCTAGAGTTGTTCGCATGGCTTCGATGTCTTGCAAAGACTGCTGGATGCTGTTGTCGCTCGCTCGTGGTTGGTCGTTGCCGCGTGCTGCTGTGGGCGGTCGTCGACATGGCTTGTCGAATGAGCCGTTGGTCTGCTGTAGCGCGCTGTAGGCGAACTGCTGCGTCGTGAGTGTTGCTGCTGCCGAGCTCTTCCCCAGGATTGACTTCGCCGCCTTCTCCGATGTGGATCCATGTAGCAACTGCTACGGATCGTCCATAGTCACGTCTGAGGTGTTCGGCTCGTCCTCTCTGGCGATCGTGATCAGATGGTTCTCAACTGAGAAAATCTCGCTTGGTGGACCGACGTGGGCTCCTATTTCCATTATCTTGAACTTCCCTCTTCTCCGGATCTTCGGATATTGACCTCCCAAGTCTCAAAATATCCTCCAACAACTTTGGGATGGCCTGGGCTGGCGTCTGCGCCGGCACTTTGCCCCGGAGTGTTGTTCTGTTTTTTTTTTCGCGAAAAGAGATCCCGCCCCGATTGAGCCCCAACCCGTAGGTGACCCCTTGGATTTCAATCAAGTCTTCGAGTCCTTCTTCCACTGAGTAATGTACCGATGCTTCGTGAGCCAAAATAATCCACGTTCCCGTTGTTCTGAAGTCCGCCGGCCTCGTCGCACCCGCACGCGCCCGCGAAAGGGACAACCCCGTCCTGAGTGCATACGCAGTGGCTTCCGAATGGCGCTCGTCATGGTCACATCGATCCGCAATGCCCGTGCTCCCTTGGTGTCGCCCTCGTACAACTTGATGCTGCTGATTGCGTAGTCCAACTCATCAGGCTTGGCTTCTCCCTTTCGGATGGCTTGTGCGTGTGCTTGTAGGAGTGCCTCCGATTCCTCTCCCACTTTGGCCCGTGCTCGCTGTTGGCGCAGTCGCGATCTTTGTCTTTGAGTTTGGCAAGGGCGTCGGTGGCTTCTCGATGTTGCTGATGTATTGCCTTGAGTACCGCTTCGTTGTGAAACTCTGATACCACGGCGATCACGTTCACGAGCTCCGTGGTCCATGCTGGTGCCTTGGGCGCTTCGTGCTTCAACTGAAGTAACGGTGGTTCGTCGTCCTCCAGCGCCACGTTGATGGCCCAAACGTACCCGTCGCGCGTCCGTGAAACTTCCTTCGCCTGGCCCTTCGTGGAGATCTGCTCGTGCACTGGTATCTGCATCGGTCTTGTCGCGATTCCATATGCCATGACCGCCGACTTCAAACGAGCGGATGGTGTGTTTGTCGGGATCAAGACGTAGTGTGCTTGCATGACTTCTGTGCCTTTCGACTCCAGTAGTGCGATGACTTCGTTGCCTGTCTCCGCTAGGTAAACTCCATGGCTGGCTCCTGTCGGTGGTGCACGGAGTACTGGAAGTACCAGCGCGCCCTGCAAAATCAATCCGTTTTCGTGCTGTGCGTCACCCTTCACGCGCGGTTCCGCGTTGGGCACGTGCATCTTCTTTTCATTTTTATGTGGCCGCTCGTCTGTTGTGGGAATTGATGACGCGCGCGTCGTCTTCCATTGCTCCGGGCGCGCCTTCGCCTCCTTTTG